TTACCTACAGAAGAACAAGGACAAGGAATTACATTTGATTTCTTTTCAGTAACCATGCAATCAAGGAGAGAGAGGAGTAAAATATTGGAAGTGTTAAAAGAAAAAAAACACCAAGAATTCTATATGCAGTGAAATTATCCATCAAGGCAGGGCATGGTGGCTTGTACCTGTAATCCTAGCACTCTGGGAGGCTAAGGCAGGAGGATCACTTGAACTCAGGAGTTTGAGACCATCCTGAACAAGAGTGAGACCCTGTCTCTACTAAAAATAGAAAAGTGGGCATTGTGGCATGCATCTATAGTCCTAGCTATTCAGGAGGCTGAAGCAGGAGGATCACTTGAAACCAGGAGTTTGAGATTGCAGTGAGCTAGGCTGAGGCCGGGGCATTCTAGCCTGGGCAACAGAGTAAGACTATCTCAAAAAAAAAAAAAAAATCACAAGTAAGGAAATTCCAAGAGCCTCTGCAACTCCTGCTCCAAAACTCCCATCTAATTATCCTGTTTTCCTATCTAAGCAACAACTTTCCCTTAATTGCTTTTTCCACATTTCTGCTGTCTGATTATAACTCAGATAGCATCTCCCTGGTATCCTAACCCTGGAGCAGTGTAGAATGTTAGAAAGCATAGAACACAAGTGTCATAAACAATTCTGAAGCAATCCGTAAGGACACAGGGTACATTAGAAAGACTGCATTTCAGCTCGGCGCCTGTAGCTCATGCTGCTAGGGCGCCAGCCACACACACCAGAGTTGGTGGGTTAGAATCTAGCCCAGGGCCATGTATCTTACCAGCTAACTGTACATATGATCTTCACAAATAATTTTTTTAAAATACAGTATTCTTTTGAGCCAGGTGAACTGGCAAACACCTGTAGTGCCAGCTACTAGGGAGACTAAGGCAGTAGGATCACTTCTGGCTAGGACTGGAGGCTGCAGTACACTATGACCACACTTCTGAATTGCCACTATACTCCATCATAGCAAGACTCCATCTCAAAAAGAAAGAAGAAAAAAGGAAAAAAGATAACAGTATTCTATATTTTGTATGTTGTTTGTTTAATTCAAAAATACAATACAGTTGGCCAGACAAAGTGGCTAATACCTATAATCCCAGCACTTGGGAGGCCGAGGCAGGTAGATTGCCTAAGCTCACAAGTTTAAGACCAGCCTGAGCCAGAGTGAGACTCTTGTCTCTAAAAAATAGCTGGGTATGGGGCAGGCACCTGTAGTCAGTCCCAGCTACTTGGAAAGATGAACTCTTAAACCCAAGAGATTGAGGTTGTTGTGAGGTAAGACTCCACAGCACTCTACCAAGGGTGACCAAGTGAGGCTCTGTGTCAAAAAAAGAAGATAAAGGCTCGGCGCCTATAGCTCAGTGAGTAGGGCGCC